AACATAAATAAAGTTATGATCCGTACAGAATTTACAGTATCATTCACAGCAATAGTTTGAATAGAACAAATATAGTTGAGTTGTTAATACAATATGGATTGTACTTTTTGGTTTAACACTAGGTAGTAGGTACCTAACTATGGTGGCGTATGACTCGAAATATTTACAAAATGTTTTGTTAGTCAAATATTTTACTTTTGTTCACACAACTGAAGTTAGTTCTAAGCAACTAAACGATTGTGGTAGACAACAAATCTTTGGTAATAACACCATACCATTTTAAAGCCACAACCAAATTGATATGTATCGTTAACAAAGTTGAGTTAAAATTAAATAATAACTGGGTTTTACCCGTGTACCTACTAACACTACCACACCCGCCGCCGACGCTGCCGCCGAGAATCACTGATTCTTTATTTGACGACCGACTGCCAAACTCGTGTCATACTGTCATCACTCATCATTATAGTTCATCAGTTTTTCTCGTTGTCACTTTTAAATTAACTTGTTATTAGTTAATTAGTTAAATTTTAATGATGTCCGATGACCTAGCAGACTTCCTAACAGCGTGGGACTTATCCCAATATATTGATACGTTTCGAGGTAAGTTTTATCAACATACTTACAAGTTACATTATATAATACGATATACCTCGTAACTATTAAGTAGAAAATAGTAAAATTTTTACTTAAAAGTATTGATCACTGAATACTAGTATTTGTATCAATGTAAAAAAATATCAGGTACCTACCTACCTATCTTAAATTGTTTTTATTTTAGATTAATGAATCATCATCTATTGATATTGGAACGGATATTTTATTAGTTGATGACATTTCAAGTATACCTAGCCAAAGCTCTTCAACTGAGGTAAGTATGATTATTCAAATTATTTATATTTATTATATGTTGTGTAGAATTAGATATAGGTTATAATTTAAGGTGCGTAGAGCTTGAACAGCTTAAATCACAATATTGTTTTTTTGGTGACGGGCAATGCAAGTTTTAATATGTTTATAATTTAAATTTTTTAATCACTGGGTTAGTAAAAAGTTATAATTCCCTTTGACCTATATTAGATAAAATGTTAATTAATACCAAATTATTAAACTTGCATGAGAATTACAAAATGTTTATATATACAGTATTTTATAATATGTATATTATATACATTATAAACATTACACACATACTTAAATCTGAATATTTTATAAACAAATTTGAGATCAAACATTTTTAAAACAATTAAGTAATAATATAACACTACCATTTTAAAATATAATTACTTAAATTAATTTTTTTTTTTCATAATATACTCAACAATATTATAATATTAGTGTACCAACACTAAAATCTTAATAATGTATGCAAAAAATTAAGATCAAACATATAATAATATTATAACTTAGTGATTAAAATAACAACAATTTAACAGCTGTATCATAATGAAAAAACAAACTTATTAATAATAAATACAACTAAGTAAATTTTAAAATGAATAAATTATATGAAAAATTGTCAAACCATGTTCAAAATTAATGAAATAACTGACAATTTACTACCTATAACATTTTGTAATTTGTACCATAAAAAAAAAAAGTTGAGTTTATGTTTTGTTTTTACTCCTTATTTGTCTTTTATATACTACCTAATACAAATGTTTAATATTTTTATATTATTATGTATGTTAATTAATAATCATTAATAGAGACCAGAATTTCAAATTATCATTATGGTGCATACACTCAGTATATGAACTCAAAAATGCTTATAATTCCAGTCTCTAATTATAATTATGCTGGTTATAATTTAAACTGACATGTATTTAAATAATATATAATTTTGTTTTTTTTTTTTAGTCTGTTGATCTCTCAAATCTTCCAAATCTCTCAAATATCTCATCATCATCTAAACCTACAGTAAGTCAAATTAATTATAATATAAATTAAATATACTACATAGACAAATCCAATGTCATCGTAATAGTTTATCCATTTCTATATTTATGAGTCTTTCAGCTGTTTAGTATTTTAAGTGTTAACTGCCACATCTGACTTAAAATTCTAAGATAACTTTTTTTTTGAAATTTTGATATTTCATTTTTTTTTTTTAATCAACAGTTTATCAGAAGAACTCATTTAAAGTTGTGAGTAGGAAGGTATTATTAAACTAAACTATTGATAAAATAAAACAACATTAAAAAAAAAAAAATTATCTTTTAAAATATTAAGTCAAAAAGAGTGGTTGCCGTTTAAGAAAAACATTTTTATATTTGTAATCAAATTAATTTTGTTTACAGAATTTATTAGGTCATCTTCAAAGTACAAATGAAGGTAGATCTTTACTTGCAGCCTATCAAGAAACTTTATAGTGTCGCAAACGCCTGTGCAATTTAGTTATTAATAACGAATTGAGTGTTGATGTTAATATCAGAGTTTCTTCATCCAGATTACAAGAACTCGCATATGAAATTACAACTGTGTTTAACAAAGAACGAACACCTACTTATTTCATACCATATTTGTCATATGGGCCTGGCCTTAAACGAGCCGCTAAAGGAAAACTTCTTGACTGTCTCAACAATAAAAGGAGAGAGTTTAGAAAATCAGGAATTATTAGATCATTAAAACGAAGTTCAACTCCATCGTCTGGACGTTCTTCTCCTCTTATTTTACCACCTGAAGCACTTCAACTTACAAATAATCAGTTAGATAATGATATTGCATCTGTTGAAGATAGCTTAAATTGGCTCCATAATTCTAGTGATCCTTTGTTACTAGTTGATCAACATTGGAATATAACTGCTATTACCCGTTTGAAACAACAACTGTCAAAAAATGGGCAGTCCATTACTTCATATATGACTGAATATCCATATTTAAAAAAACCATCAGGATATTTTCTTGTAAGTTTATAATTTTCATCTAAAATAATACAATTTTGTATCTAATTCATTATGATTTCAGATTTTCAAAGATTTTGATGTTGCATATCCTGGGTTTTCTGATAAATTGTTTCAAAATCTGCCATTGTATAAGAATAAAATATTTAGCTTAACTGCAGAGAAAATTAAAAAAACCAAAGAACATTCGATTAATCAAATTCTTAAAGATTATGTACAATTGGGAGCTGAAGGTAAACTAAAAAATTAAATTAAATTAAAAAAATAACGTTTGTAGTCCTTGACTCTGTGAGTAGGATGTATAAAAAATGGATTTTTGATTTATTCTAACTATTTATTATGTATTATAATATAATTTAATATTATGTAATTCATTACATCCAGTTATTTTAGTATGTCATATATTTGTATTCCTTAGTATCAATACCATTGACAGATCTAAAAATAATAGTTTTCTTTATTTTCTGGACCAAACATAATTATTGAAAGATTTTTTTCTAACCACATCACTTAATTTATGAATAACAAACATCATTTGTATTTACAGACAATGAAGAAGCATCAAACATATCAGCATTTCTCTGCTTGCCTTTTTTAATTGGAGTCACAATTTCTAGAAGTAAGAAGACAAAACTTCAATGGAAACCTTCAAAATTAGAAATGCGGGATGGATTCATAACACACGTTCGAAGTAATGCAGAGGTACAAGAAACTATATTACGTAAACAAGAAAAATTGTTAGGATTAGGTCATACACAGCAACCATTTATTATTATAGTAGGTCCTACTTTAAGTGACATTTCAAATTATTTTGTTGTGGTTGATGATGTATTTTATCAGCTAAACTCAATTCTAGCTGCTGTTGATTGTTGCTTTAAAACAATAATAACATTTAACGCAGAGTATCCTGTAGAATGTGAAACCATTTGGTATTTCATTCAAAAGGGGTTTTATAATTTACACACTACATTTGATAAAAATTTTACTACTGTAAACACTTTTATGTCAGATATTGGAATTTCTACTCAATAATATATTTTCTAAAGTAAAGTTGTAGACATTGTGTTGTCAACTTCACTAGAAGAGAATAGTTGTTTCTTACTAGAGACTTTAATAGGAGAAATGAATGAACTTTATATAAAATATAGTAAAAATATATTTACTGAATATACATCATACGTGTATTTTGTACATATACAATATTATCGTGCATATTATTGTAATATCTTTTTCCATTAAATAAATATTGAAAAAAAGATTGGTAAGATTCGATCTCTGGATAAAGAGCTAAAAAGCTATAGCACCGACGCTTTAACCCACTAGGCCCCTCACCTGATATACTGTTGTTATGATTCTTAATGTATATAGCTGTATGAATATTATTGTACACATCTCAATGTAATAACTGGTTGATACATTTATGTATCAACGTCTTATGCTACATGATTGTATTTGTAACACATTTAAGAATAATGTACTTATACAATTACAATCTTCAGGAATATACAGGCAACGACGTGTGTGTTCCGACATACCCTATCTATTGTATCATTCTTCAACAAGGGTCGAGACTACACCCCTTTGTATATTTTATACAGGAATGAAACGTCTTGTGTGTTCCGACATACCCTATCTATTGTTAACAATAACATTCTTCAACAAGGGCCGAGACTGATCATGTTCACCCCTTTGTATATTTTTAACCTTAAATTTCTGTCGCCATAACGTTCTATAGCGAGACATGTGTTAGACATACCCTATCTATTGTTAACATTCTTCAACAAGGGTTGGAACTATACATGTATACCCCTTTGTATATTTTAAACCTTGTCCACCTGCACCTTTTATGGCAGGTGTTGTTATTCTGTTGTCATTGAGAAATTTACCCCTACCTAATAATGTTTCCCCCACCGAATAATGACTCAAATCATCAGACGCTTGACCCTGCAAGAGCGGACATTTATTCAGTGTGTTCAGAGTCTTATGCTATACTACACGTACATTTTTATTTCTTGTGAGTGTTTTTATTTTTCAAGTCTTAATAAATTTTCAGTGTTTATTTATATTTTTTTATAAGTTCTAAAAATTATTAATATCATGGCTGGTTCAATCGCTGACAACGCTTCCATCTACAAAAAGAAGCCGTTTACGTACGTTCCTCCATCACCTCCGGCTGGGTTAATAGATTCTACGTCCTACACATTAGACTTCACCACTCGCAAATTTGTACTTGTGGGAATCGATCCGACTGATGATTTCCAAACAGTTATCCATATATTGACTTCTTCCCGTCACGTGAAATTGACGACAGATTTTCTAAAACGAATATTCTCGCTTATGGGTAACGTGCTATCATTTATACAAGAGATACCGAAATCATATAAACGAAACATATTTCTCGAGACAGAGTTTTTTAAATTGTCAAGTATGGTGTATGTAGGAGCAAATGTTCTATTAATAGAATCTAAACCGAGGACGGGTGTAGAGTTCTTTTGAATCGTACAGATTTAATTCAGCTTCAGAACTTTGAATGGAGTATTTCCGCAAGTATAGGGGAAAAAGATATTTTCATCAAACCCAAAATTATTAAACAAATGAATGAATATTCTCAGTATTTGATTGGGAAAATTCTTCAAGTGGATTCACCGCCTAAAAATGTACAAGAAATGCAAATTTTCATTAACAACCAAGAAGTCAATCAAACCAGTGAAAACCGATTCCTCAGTCAAATCAAAATGTTTGCACCTACACAGTTAGCTGAACTTTGTATGAATCGTCTGGTGACATCAAACACTCCGGAGGTAATTCAGAAATGTATTATTACATAATATATAAAATATTTAATACTTCTTATATTATTTTAGCCGTATGACAAGAATTTTAGAAGCCTGTCAGTTTTGGAACCAAGCTATTCACCCGTCAACGCTGGTAACTACAGATCGTACGAAGACTCCAATAGACGTAATGGATTTAATCTGTCGGATGAGGATTATGATTTATCTAAGGTAATTTATAAAATACTTTTTAATAAAAACAATTTTATAATTTTATATTAATTTTTTCCAGCCGATAGATCATATTGATGGACCAACGTCACCCGATGAAAACTGCAGCCAACAACAGTGGTGTGATGAAAATGATGGGCCTGATTTTTTCAATTCAAACCATACACTGTCTCAATTCAAGACACCACAGTCATCTCAACCAACTTGTGTTGAACCCCATGCACCGTTGCGTAAAGTAAAACGTAGACTATTTTAATATTTGGAAATATAAAATTTATGTGAAATAAAAAAAAAGACGTGATATATAAAAAAAGTTTTTTCATTTATTAATATTAAGGTTTATAATAAATATTAAGGTTTACAATAAAATATTAAGGTTTACAATAAAATATTAAGGTTTACAAAAAGTATTTACAATAAATATTTACAAGGTTCTTACTTCTCCGTTAAATGGATTATAAGTAATAATTTGGTCATGTAATATTAAACAATATGCGGAAGTGGAAGCTGGAAACGCCTCATCAGCTTCTAGTTCAATTCTGAGGTCAACAGTTAACATTTTCACGTTGTCGTTCTGTGTAGAACACCACCTTTTTTCGGTATTGGTATAATTCTTGGTGTTTTAGTTTTCTTATTTTTATTCTTTTTAATTTTTTTCGCAGCTGACAGACATGTTCTTACTAATTTTGTAATATTATTTTCGTTCATTTTATTTTTGATGGAATTTTTAGCAGCCAAAACCATTTGTTTAAATCCGCAACCAGCTCCAATCTTACGTTTGACCTTCATGGCTGTAGTAACTAACCAAGACGCCGCTTTTTCCTTGATACCTGTGTTTTTAGATTTAAAAACTTCCCAAGCCTGATTTTCTTATACATCGTCTGCTCTATGCCGATCAGTTAGCGAATTACTTTCTTCGTATGCGATATCATGCGCTCTGGCCAACTCGTCAAGTTTGTTTATACCACGTTCTCATCGTGCTAATCTTTGTTTCAATTTGGTTCCGGGACCGGCAAATCTATAAACAATTATTCATAAAATTTAAAAACGGATTTATTAGTCATAATATATTGTAGAGACTTACCTATAACCAGGTAAATGTAATTCCACGGGTAAATGTTATTGTTAACAATAGATAGGGTATGTCGGAACACACAAGACGTTTCATTCCTGTATAAAATATACAAAGGGGTGTAGTCTCGACCCTTGTTGAAGAATGATACAATAGATAGGGTATGTCGGAACACACACGTCGTTGCCTGTATATTCCTGAAGATTGTAATTGTATAAGTACATTATTCTTAAATGTGTTACAAATACAATCATGTAGCATAAGACGTTGATACATAAATGTATCAACCAGTTATTACATTGAGATGTGTACAATAATATTCATACAGCTATATACATTAAGAATCATAACAACAGTATATCAGGTGAGGGGCCTAGTGGGTTAAAGCGTCGGTGCTATAGCTTTTTAGCTCTTTATCCAGAGATCGAATCTTACCAATCTTTTTTTCAATATTTATTTAATGGAAAAAGATATTACAATAATATGCACGATAATATTGTATATGTACAAAATACACGTATGATGTATATTCAGTAAATATATTTTTACTATATTTTATATAAAGTTCATTCATTTCTCCTATTAAAGTCTCTAGTAAGAAACAACTATTCTCTTCTAGTGAAGTTGACAACACAATGTCTACAACTTTACTTTAGAAAATATATTATTGAGTAGAAATTCCAATATCTGACATAAAAGTGTTTACAGTAGTAAAATTTTTATCAAATGTAGTGTGTAAATTATAAAACCCCTTTTGAATGAAATACCAAATGGTTTCACATTCTACAGGATACTCTGCGTTAAATGTTATTATTGTTTTAAAGCAACAATCAACAGCAGCTAGAATTGAGTTTAGCTGATAAAATACATCATCAACCACAACAAAATAATTTGAAATGTCACTTAAAGTAGGACCTACTATAATAATAAATGGTTGCTGTGTATGACCTAATCCTAACAATTTTTCTTGTTTACGTAATATAGTTTCTTGTACCTCTGCATTACTTCGAACGTGTGTTATGAATCCATCCCGCATTTCTAATTTTGAAGGTTTCCATTGAAGTTTTGTCTTCTTACTTCTAGAAATTGTGACTCCAATTAAAAAAGGCAAGCAGAGAAATGCTGATATGTTTGATGCTTCTTCATTGTCTGTAAATACAAATGATGTTTGTTATTCATAAATTAAGTGATGTGGTTAGAAAAAAATCTTTCAATAATTATGTTTGGTCCAGAAAATAAAGAAAACTATTATTTTTAGATCTGTCAATGGTATTGATACTAAGGAATACAAATATATGACATACTAAAATAACTGGATGTAATGAATTACATAATATTAAATTATATTATAATACATAATAAATAGTTAGAATAAATCAAAAATCCATTTTTTATACATCCTACTCACAGAGTCAAGGACTACAAACGTTATTTTTTTAATTTAATTTAATTTTTTAGTTTACCTTCAGCTCCCAATTGTACATAATCTTTAAGAATTTGATTAATCGAATGTTCTTTGGTTTTTTTAATTTTCTCTGCAGTTAAGCTAAATATTTTATTCTTATACAATGGCAGATTTTGAAACAATTTATCAGAAAACCCAGGATATGCAACATCAAAATCTTTGAAAATCTGAAATCATAATGAATTAGATACAAAATTGTATTATTTTAGATGAAAATTATAAACTTACAAGAAAATATCCTGATGGTTTTTTTAAATATGGATATTCAGTCATATATGAAGTAATGGACTGCCCATTTTTTGACAGTTGTTGTTTCAAACGGGTAATAGCAGTTATATTCCAATGTTGATCAACTAGTAACAAAGGATCACTAGAATTATGGAGCCAATTTAAGCTATCTTCAACAGATGCAATATCATTATCTAACTGATTATTTGTAAGTTGAAGTGCTTCAGGTGGTAAAATAAGAGGAGAAGAACGTCCAGACGATGGAGTTGAACTTCGTTTTAATGATCTAATAATTCCTGATTTTCTAAACTCTCTCCTTTTATTGTTGAGACAGTCAAGAAGTTTTCCTTTAGCGGCTCGTTTAAGGCCAGGCCCATATGACAAATATGGTATGAAATAAGTAGGTGTTCGTTCTTTGTTAAACACAGTTGTAATTTCATATGCGAGTTCTTGTAATCTGGATGAAGAAACTCTGATATTAACATCAACACTCAATTCGTTATTAATAACTAAATTGCACAGGCGTTTGCGACACTATAAAGTTTCTTGATAGGCTGCAAGTAAAGATCTACCTTCATTTGTACTTTGAAGATGACCTAATAAATTCTGTAAACAAAATTAATTTGATTACAAATATAAAAATGTTTTTCTTAAACGGCAACCACTCTTTTTGACTTAATATTTTAAAAGATAATTTTTTTTTTTTTAATGTTGTTTTATTTTATCAATAGTTTAGTTTAATAATACCTTCCTACTCACAACTTTAAATGAGTTCTTCTGATAAACTGTTGATTAAAAAAAAAAAATGAAATATCAAAATTTCAAAAAAAAAGTTATCTTAGAATTTTAAGTCAGATGTGGCAGTTAACACTTAAAATACTAAACAGCTGAAAGACTCATAAATATAGAAATGGATAAACTATTACGATGACATTGGATTTGTCTATGTAGTATATTTAATTTATATTATAATTAATTTGACTTACTGTAGGTTTAGATGATGATGAGATATTTGAGAGATTTGGAAGATTTGAGAGATCAACAGACTAAAAAAAAAAAACAAAATTATATATTATTTAAATACATGTCAGTTTAAATTATAACCAGCATAATTATAATTAGAGACTGGAATTATAAGCATTTTTGAGTTCATATACTGAGTGTATGCACCATAATGATAATTTGAAATTCTGGTCTCTATTAATGATTATTAATTAACATACATAATAATATAAAAATATTAAACATTTGTATTAGGTAGTATATAAAAGACAAATAAGGAGTAAAAACAAAACATAAACTCAACTTTTTTTTTTTTATGGTACAAATTACAAAATGTTATAGGTAGTAAATTGTCAGTTATTTCATTAATTTTGAACATGGTTTGACAATTTTTCATATAATTTATTCATTTTAAAATTTACTTAGTTGTATTTATTATTAATAAGTTTGTTTTTTCATTATGATACAGCTGTTAAATTGTTGTTATTTTAATCACTAAGTTATAATATTATTATATGTTTGATCTTAATTTTTTGCATACATTATTAAGATTTTAGTGTTGGTACACTAATATTATAATATTGTTGAGTATATTATGAAAAAAAAAAATTAATTTAAGTAATTATATTTTAAAATGGTAGTGTTATATTATTACTTAATTGTTTTAAAAATGTTTGATCTCAAATTTGTTTATAAAATATTCAGATTTAAGTATGTGTGTAATGTTTATAATGTATATAATATACATATTATAAAATACTGTATATATAAACATTTTGTAATTCTCATGCAAGTTTAATAATTTGGTATTAATTAACATTTTATCTAATATAGGTCAAAGGGAATTATAACTTTTTACTAACCCAGTGATTAAAAAATTTAAATTATAAACATATTAAAACTTGCATTGCCCGTCACCAAAAAAACAATATTGTGATTTAAGCTGTTCAAGCTCTACGCACCTTAAATTATAACCTATATCTAATTCTACACAACATATAATAAATATAAATAATTTGAATAATCATACTTACCTCAGTTGAAGAGCTTTGGCTAGGTATACTTGAAATGTCATCAACTAATAAAATATCCGTTCCAATATCAATAGATGATGATTCATTAATCTAAAATAAAAACAATTTAAGATAGGTAGGTAGGTACCTGATATTTTTTTACATTGATACAAATACTAGTATTCAGTGATCAATACTTTTAAGTAAAAATTTTACTATTTTCTACTTAATAGTTACGAGGTATATCGTATTATATAATGTAACTTGTAAGTATGTTGATAAAACTTACCTCGAAACGTATCAATATATTGGGATAAGTCCCACGCTGTTAGGAAGTCTGCTAGGTCATCGGACATCATTAAAATTTAACTAATTAACTAATAACAAGTTAATTTAAAAGTGACAACGAGAAAAACTGATGAACTATAATGATGAGTGATGACAGTATGACACGAGTTTGGCAGTCGGTCGTCAAA